TAAGCTCAGGCGATAATCGCCACAGGTGACACCAGCCTCCGCCAGAACCTGGTATATTTGCATCTTGCACTTTGTCTCTAGAATTTCTGACCAGACTGCCACGACCAGCCTTGGAGTAATGCATTTTATTTTATTTTATTTATCCTCATTTTGCATTTATTTTCAGATAGAGCAGGAGGGAGAGAGGAAGGGAGAGAGAGAAACATCGATGTGACTGAGACACATAGAGTGGCTGCCACTCCCACGACCCCAACCGGGGCTGGGGACAAATTGCAACCGAGGTATGTGCCTTTAGTGGGAACCGAACCCGGGTCTCTCTGGTCCGCAGGCCAAAGCTCTAACCGCTGAGCCAGACCATCCAGGGCGAGTATTGCATTTTATACATGCTGAGTAGTTTGGAGCCCACTTACGTTATAGCAGGATTTTCCGTGTAGTTTTTCCCATCCTGCAGATGAAGAACCTGAGGTTTGGAGAAATGAGTTCATTATTCAAGGTCAAAGAATAACTGAGAGCCGAGAGCCTCGTGGTCCGGGGCCAAAGCCAGAGCCACCGGCGCGGTACATACCTTCTCCCACAGCGGATGTGCAGAGCATGGGCCGGCGCTCATTTGCTTTTGCTTTTATTTTTCAGGATTTATCTTTCAAAAATACGTCTTTGAGATTTTTATGAGCTAAAATTCTAACTGTCTTTGGAGGTGCTTCTCTCCAAGGTTTTCTGAGAAATGTAGCACAGGGGTGAGCCCCCTCTTCCTGTTGCCATGGCGATTGTATAACAGTTGTCAGTGACACTGGATGATTTTTGTGGCTGATTAGACACAAAGGCTGCAGCATTTCACATGCCACCCTCTCCTCCTGAAAAGAAGAGAGGCCAGTAAGGCGACACGGGCCGCCACGGGTTTCTAATTTGGAAGTGGCTGTTGGATTCCCTCTGACCCTGGCGCTGACCATCGCTGCCCTGTTTTCCACGAGTTCAAGTGTGGCCCCACCTGGACCGAGCAGAGTTGAGGGGTTACTTTCCCACTGGTAACAAGAGCTTCTCCTGATCCTGAATATTCCCTTATCCATGCCGTCTTTTCGTATGCATATCTGGGATTCCTGTATTTGTGTTTTTATGTATTTCCACAAATATCTGTGGTCTGCGAAAGGTTGGTTCCATGGTGACATGGGAGGGTGTGTAGAACGTGGTCTTCACTGAGCTCAGAGGTCTCTAGCTTGGGAGAGTGCTCCTTGCCACAGCTTTCGCTGGGGTCATCTCCCAGCACCAGGCTCCGCCTGCCTGTAACACCGGGTGTCTGCATTAGGCCTGTTGCCGTTGCTGTTGTCTGAATGGCAGTGATAAGAGTGATGGCTGGTGTCTCACCACCCTGGTTTCGCTTGCCTCCTTCCCCAGAGGTGATCTGGTTGAGAGACTGGGGCCAACTGGAGGGTTTGCTTTTGTCCATCTCTGAGGTCCTTTTTGTCTCTGAAACGCCATGGTTTTATGAAATGTATACTCAGGACTGATCCTATACCTATGGGAGCCTAGGGTTTCCTAGATGAGCTCATGGAGCCAGTAGGTATTATGTACCCATGGGGAAGCCAAAGGAGGTGTCTCCTGTGCGTGGGGACCTTCCCAGACTTGAGGAGGAGTCTAGCACACTTCAGGGCATCCCCAGTGACATGTGAAGGCTGTTGAGGCTGTGAGTTTAGGGACAGGTCAATGGCCAGAGAGTTGGAGAAGACTTCCTAAGAGAAGGTGATCCTGCTTTGGCCTCGTAAGATGCTGAAGAACAGAAGCAAGAAGACACTGAACCTTGACACGGGCTGAGGAAAAGGGTCTTGCCCCCTGGCATTGTGGGCCGAGACTTTGGCCGGGACAGGATGCCCTGCAGGGTGTCCCCTCAGTAGACGCTGAATTGTTCTTTCTTGTAGTGGGAAGCCAAATGACAGATGCATAGTATGTTATTTTTAACCAAAAGTCAGTTATCTAACAAACTCAACTGATCCGGAGCATGAATCAGGAACCAGAACAGAAGTGGAAAAGACCCTGAGCTTTGGGTTGAAGTAGACATCAGACGCTCTTCCCTTGGGTCCCTTGAGGCCCACATTCTCTACTTACACCTGGACTGAGGGTGTATGAGGACAAAGATGAGTGCCCGCGGCAGGGTTGACGGCAACTAGCGATGGGTTGGATAGCCTACACTAGGGGGTGGAGGAAGGGTGTGGACAGACAGCCCTGCAGCCCGCAGTGTGGGGACAGGACACCCCGCCACCTACGTCTGCGTCTGCACTGCCCTCCATCGCGGGCACAGCTCGTCATTGATGCACGTGGCACCCTCCTGCGTTGCCAATGAGACTGACACCCTGTGTTACATAGTTCACTCGCTTTAAACAGGTGAAGAGAGGCATACTGGAGTTTAGTGTGTATCTCACAGCCATTGTTTTGAAGTTGGGCACTTCAGTTCTGTGTTATTTTCAGTTCTCACACCCAGTATTGCTGACACGTCAGGTGTAGCCTGGACAGTCTTGGGAGAGGGTGAACGGCCACTCGGAGCATTTCCAGCCGCCCGTGAGCCCCTCCGCTGCCACGGTCACTGGTCAGCCTGAGGGCTGGCAGTTCCCCTGCTGCTTCTGGGCATTCTGGAACCTCTGAGAGATGATGGCACTGGAGGAGGAAAGCACTGGGAACCTCCCCCGGTGGGTTTTCTGAATGAAGATTCTCGAGCTGTTGGAAGATAGACCCATGCAGGTGACATCAGTGGCTCCTGTCCCTGAGCACTCCCAGCGGCCTTGGGCTTTGGCGTGAGCCCGGCTATGTGTGCTGGGAGGTGATGGGGTGTGTGCCCGGGCGAGGGAACCCCTACAGGATCTGGGCATGATGTACCCCTCTTCAGCTAGCACACTGTGCTGTCTGTGGTTAAGGGGTGGAGAGCTGGGAAACAGGGCCGCCGGAGTCCAAACCAGCCCTGCCTCGCCCCCCCCTCCCCCCCCCGGGCTGAGTTAGCGTGATCCCCTCCTTAAGGCTGAACAGAAAAGCCAAACCCCCGGCCACAGAGGGCCTGAGAATAACTCTAAGTTGCCTTTTAATTTTTAAATTTTGATCAGGGAAATATTTTTCTGCTGGAATCCAGGCATGTAGAGATGTTTCCATGTCAGGATGAGGAGTGTGGGATGGAATAGTTGCACCCCAGCGTGTCTGTGTCTTAAGCAGACTTATTTCTACGTGGAGGGGCTCCTCGTCTCCCCCAGCCCAGGGACTCCGGCGAATCAGTGCATGAGGCCAGAGCCAGCGTAGGTGCAGGGGAGGGAGACTGTGTGTGGTCAGCCTCCGGATGGAGGGAGGTGGAGACACGCTTGCCCCTTCGGAGACACCAGAGACAGACGGGCAAGGTGGAGACTGGCCCTGCTGAGCTGGAGACCCTCGGGGCAAGGCTCCCAACCAGAGGACCCTGCACAGAGATGTGTGACCCAAGGACCCCTGTACCTCCTCAGGGAGCTGCTGTTGCACCCTCCTCCCTCTGAGTCCTGCAGTCAGCTTTCCTCGGTGCTCGCCTGTGTGTCCTGAGTAGTCCCCTTGTCACTGGGTTACGTTCCATGTTAAGGAGAAGCTCCTTCCGGCTTACCTTTGCATTTCCAGGTGTAGGCTCTTCAATATGAAAGCGATGAGTGGGCAGCTAAGTAACTGAATGACTAGGGCTTCCAAAATGTGGATTTGCTCTTGGGAAGCCAGACTGCCAGTACACAAGGTTGGTACCGCCCGAGTGTGCATATCTGGATGGGGACTAAACCCCAGCTGAATGCAGGTGACCGATCGAGGCACTTGGCGGGATGTAAGTAAGCGAGCTTTGCCAAGGCTGCTCTCACGGAGGTCAGCCTCCTGACTCCTAGGTGGTTCAGATGGTGCGTTAACCTCTGGGGCAGAGTCCCAAGGGCAGCAGAAGGGTGGGTTGGCAATGTGTCTGATAGGTTAGGGACAGTACTGCCTTAGTGTCAAGTGAAGGTCCCTGAGCCACTTGGAAAGTCGTGGGACACGCGTGGCACCTAGGCTATTGTAAATACTCCTTGTGAAGGGACCTGGAAAGGAAAATATAAAGGACAAGATACAAATAACGGGATTCAGCGTAGCGGTGGTTGGTGCCAGTGTGCTCACCGTCCGCAGAGGCCACACGTGTGGCGGGAGCACAAGTGGGAGGTTTGTAAATGCAGATGGGAGCCCCAGCCCTTCTGTTTGGGAAATGTATGCTGTTGAGCAAGTCATAGATTTTTAAACTTCAATTTTCTTCCCTTGAGTGATTGCAAGAGTCAGAGGAGGTGAGGTATGTAGAACCCGCCCTGCATCTGAGACCAAGAGCGCTTCTTCTGCTACCAGTACTGAGGATGGGTGTCCTCCCGCACCTGTCCTCGGCTCCTGCCCTGTTCCTACAGGGGCCAAGCCGGTGATCTGTTACAGACCGTGGGACGCTGGGGCGATCTAGCTGGCCTGGGTCGATGGGATGGGTGGAGGAAGAGGAGGGTGAGCTGGCGTCTGCCGCAGCTCCTCACCATGCTCTGCCCTGTGGGTGTCGCCCTGGTCTGTGGACTAGAAAAGGTTGGCGTTCTGACCCTGGGGCCACGAGGCGTGGGAGGGGAGGACACTGCGCGAGACCTGGGAAACCTGAAGCTGTGCTGTGTTCTCCACTCATTAGCTGGGGCCATCTGTCAGCGTCTCGACCATTTTGGGGTCCTCAGTTTCCTCTTTTGTAAACTGGGGGAAATAGGCAAGTTCTGTGTGGCCTAAACAAATCTAAGTTATAACTTATTCCCTTCTATGCTGCTGGCAGGATGGGATGTGGCTGATGACACGGCCTGGGACGGCACAGGAGCCACCTGCCGACAGGGCTGTTTCCTCGAACCCTGGAGGCAGGTGTGGTGAAACCCAGTAGCCTCCTTGGTGCGCTGGTGTTTTACCTGACTTCAAAAGAGGACCTGCTTGTCCAGTGAAGAAGCTTTGCATTAATCTTGCCCCCCACCCTTTTATTTCAGTATCCAGCGAGCAGCATTGGTGGTTCTGGAAAATTACTATAAAGATTTCACCATCTATAATCCCAATCTCCTAACAGCCTCCAAATTCCGAGCTGCCAAGCACATGGCGGGGCTGAAAGTCTACAACGTAGATGGTATGTGTCTTGAAAGGGTGTCTGTGGTGGGTGTAGGGGTAGCTGGGGTGACCATTTAGCTTAAATTTCATGGCCCATCTGGTTCTACCTTCTCTCTGTATGGTTCCCTCTCATTCTCATTTCAGAATAATTTCTCTCTCCCACTCACTCTCGGGCAAACATATTTTCAGAGGAATGTTGATTTATGGTCTACATCTGTGGGAAGTTCATTCACTTTGGGATTTTTATGATTGAAAACAATAGCGATGTGTGTGTGTTTCCTGCCTCCTGCTGGGAACATCTTATAGTAAAAGCTATTAGGAAAAGGCTGCTTTTCAAAACGTGGATAAAGTACCCAGAGCAAAGACTGCTACCCGGCCCCGTGGAGACCATATAACTGTCAGTAGTTCAGGCATCTGGTGAGAGACTTGCAGGCATTTCTCAGTCCTGGCGAGAAGCTGGAGTCGAGTGGGTGGCGGGAGGCCAGAGGCCAGGCTGGGGACGTCAGCCCTTTCGGGCTATCAGATGGTTAAGTGCAGGAAACAGGACATGGTCTCATTTCTTTCTGGGCAGCTTGGGTCAGGGCAAGAGCTTTGCAAACCCTAGAAGAGAATCATATTGTTAGCAAGTCAAGTGATTTATAGACAGTGTCAGTTTTGGTGGTGACATAATATCCTCCGCATTTAAACATTCTGTTTTATTATTATTTTTGGCTAATGAGATGTGCACTCTCTCATGAATCCTGAAGGATTGGTAAATTTCACCTGTGACCTGAAAACAGTGAAACTTCCCACTGACAAAACCAGGGCATTAACCACGTAGGTGAAACACGACAAAGCATCTGCCTTGTCTTTCTGAAAGTCAAGGTGGTCGGGGGAACGCGACCAGGACTTCTGAGTCGTGTGCACAGATGGGCCGTTTAGCAAGTCCTCAAACATTACAATGTTTTCTGTAAAAGTGTGGTTGCCGTGACGCTCCAGCAGGGCTCATGTTCCTGTGTTTGGTCGGTGTCACTGTGTCCCTGGACTTTGCTCTTTCTCTGTCCTGGTTCTCCCGTCCCTCTCATTGTCCTGTTGCTGAACTGTGACAGGGCAGCCGCCCTGGGCCGGGCTGAGCCTTTCTGTGGCAGATGGTAAATAACATCCTCACACCCCGCGTTATTTTTGGTTATCGTTTTAATTGTCGCGCATTCTTCCTCTCCTTCCAAGTTCTTTTTCCATTTGCACTGATCAGATTGGGCTTTAGGGCTATTTCCTTCCTCTTGTGAGCATACTGAATGAGAAGCAAGGCTGCTGTTCACCCTGTGGGAAGTCACTTTTGGGATGTGTATTTGCTTCAGAGGGGATGGCTCGATGGTCCCGACAGGCTGTGTTCCTAGTGTTCTGCTCCATTTTGCCAGCCCCGTGGCATGAACACTGTGTTTTCTCTGCCGTCCTTGCCCCAAAGGCCCCAGTAACAATGCCACCGGCCAGTCCCGGGCCATGATCGCCGCAGCGGCTCGGCGCAGGGACTCCAGCCACAACGAGCTGTATTACGAGGAGGCGGAACATGAGCGGCGGGTAAAGAAGCGGAGAGCAAGGTATACTGTCCCCCTTTTGTAGACTTTCTTTTACTGCTAGAATGAAATTTTACTTTATGAACACGACCTGCTTGGGAGCCTTGGGAGTGAATCGCTGTAGTGTTTCTCAAACTTTTTCATGCATGAGCATCTCCAGGAGGGCTCGTTGTAACACAGGCCTCTGGATCCCCACCCACAAAGGTCACTTACTATTCAGTAGGTCTGGAGTTGGTCCCGAGAATTGGCGTTTCTTGCGAAGTCCCAGCAGATGCTGAGCCGCTGGCCCGAGGCCACACTTTGAGAGGCCCCATCTTGCACGCACAGGCCCTTGCTGGCTTCCCAGATCTGGTCCTGTGAACCGGAATGAACAGAGGTGGTTTCCATCATGTGTGCTGGGCCCCTTCCCTCCTTCTTCCCAGGGGCTGCTGGTGTGGCTGGATCAACAGGGATACAGCTCTGGTTCTTTGTCAGGTGGCTTTGGCAGCACCAGCCCCTCCGAGTTTGAGGGGCCTTAGCACTGTTTCATCTAACCCTCCACTGGCGAGATGAAGCGAGTCTCCCAGGCCTCCCTCCTCCTCACCTCCTGCGGCCCCAGTTCCACCTGTTACTGTGGCATTGTCCTCCTTCCTCCCTCCCTCCCTCCACTCCCAGCCGTCTGGAGTGACAGCTAAGGAGGTGGGCCTTGGGGAAGTTGGTGGCAGGCTGGGACACGGCAGGTGGGCAGGAATTGGTCCAGGTCCCGATGACTCTGTTCTCAAATCCCGTCCCGTTGCCTGGGTTTCCTTGTCCCCAGGCTGGTGGTCGCGGTGGAGGAGGCCTTCATTCACATCCAGCGTCTCCAGGCCGAGGAGCAGCAGAAGACCCCGGGGGAGGTGATGGACCCCAGGGAGGCTGCGCAAGCCATCTTCCCGTCCATGGCCCGGGCCCTGCAGAAGTACCTGCGCACCACGCGGCAGCAGCACTACCACAGCATGGAGAGCATCCTGCAGCACCTGGCCTTCTGCATCACCCACAGCATGACCCCGAAGGTGCGGCTCGCCCCCCAGCTTTGAAGCCCCGTTCCAGGGTGTTACCAGGAGTGACCCTATCAAAGGCTTCTTTGAAGCACCAACTAATAAGAATTAGTGATTCTCACTTATTTTCTAGTATTTGGGTACAGTTGGTTGTTGTTTTTTAATCCTCACCAAAGGATATTTCTCCATTGATTTTTAGACAGAGTGGACAGACTTTCACGTAGAGACAGTGCAGGTAGTAGTGACGGGGACTCGGTGGGTTCTGGAGCCGAAGCAACACATCCTCCACCAATAAACTGCAGAACCGCCCGTTAAAGGCTCTGTGCCTCAGTTTCCTTTGCTTTGCTCCATGGCCGATGCTCTAACCGCTGAGCCAAGCCGGCCAGGGCTGCCTCAGTTCCCTAATCTGGGGATAATGCCAGAACCCACTTCATTCGGTGGTTGTGAGAAATAAAGGAGTTCATTCGTGTGAAATGCTGCAAATAGTGCCTGTTACATGGAAGGACTCAACAACTGGCTGTTGTTATTAGAGGTAGAATTCGTGCCGTCACTTTATTCGGCATTTTGGGTGTTGTGGAGTTAGTTTTACTGAATGGTCTTTTAGATTATGATGTGAGCACACTTTTTAGGGCTATTATAAGAAACAGTCATGTAGCTATAGAGGGAGGTGGTCAAGGAGACAAAATAGAGTAAGGGTTTAGCAAATGGCCTTTCTTAAGACAGAAGTGGGTCCAAATCCTGACTCCACCATTGGTTTGTGACTTTGCGTAAGTTACTCTCACCGGAGGATATTTTTCCATTGATTTTTTATTTTTTATTTTTTTAGATAGTGTGGGAGGGAGGGAGGGAGAAAGAGATAGAAACATCAGTGTGAGACATATCGATCGGTTGCCCCCTGCACCACCCCGACCAGGGCTGGGACTCAAACCTGCAACCCAGGTACATGCCCTAGACTGGGAATTGAACCTGAGACCTGTCAGTCTGAGTGCCGATGCTCTAACCGCTGAGCCAAATCGGTCAATGATTGCTTCCTTGTTTATAAAATGGGGATAATAATAGTATCTACTGATAGGGTTGTTGTGTGAGAATTATAGTAAATATGGCAGCATGGCACAGAGTAAGTGATCTTGGCATAGAGCACATGGAACACTTGGGAGCTGTTATGATTCGTGTAAGGACCTATGTTGCTACATTGTCCTGTGCATATGTGTACTACTGCTGGTTACATTGTCACTAACAAGGAACGACCCTCCAGAAAGCAATACAGAAATAGTCAGTAAAAAAAAAACCCATAAGATTTCCATATTCTTTGACTCTCCTAGAAAAAGTACTCAGCACAAACACATTTATACATGAATATACATGCAGGTGATTTTTGCAAAATATTCTGTAATAACTGCAAACCACAATAACTTAAAAATAGAACAGCGGCTTACAAATGGTGGTGTATCTATGACCTGTTAGACAAGGAAGACTGTGTTAGAATATAAATTACAAAAGGCAGGATGAAGAAGAGCGTAAACACCGTGGTTGTCATGAGTACGGGGCGTCTGCATGGCAAAGTGAGAGCTTGTACCACCAACAGAAGCCGTTCTTTTCCTTTTTTCAAGATTTTGTCAAGTTTCCCAGTTGCTTTCTTTTTCATTTAAAAAGATGTGTACCTTTCTGAATTAAAAATAATAGTTTTTGCCCTGGCCAGTTTGGCTCAGCGGTTAGAGTGTCGGCCTGCAGACCAGAGTCCTGGGTTTGATTCTCGCTAAGGGCACGTACCTTGGTTGCAGTTTGTCCCCAGCCCCGGTCAAGGTCGTGTGGGTGGCAGCCACTCGATGTGTCTCTCTTACATTGATGTTTCTCTCTCTCTCTCTCCCCCTCCCGCTCTATTTGAAGATAAATGCAAAAATGTCTTGGGGTGAAAATAAAAATAATATAATAATAATAATAATAATAATCTTTGTATAAAAGCCCAAACATGAAAGAATAGTGTAATGTACAGAGTGAAGTTCCCTTCCCCGGCCCACAGTCCTTACTGATGAGGAGCAGGGGTGTGCTTGTGTGCAGTGTCTGTGTTCAGAGCAGAAATGGGGTGAAAAACTAATGGTATCATATACGTAGTTTGGAAATTTGCTTTGTTCACTTAAAGCTCTCTCGGCCAGTGGCTCTCAGCCTTCCTAATGCTGCGACCCTTTAATACAGCTCCTCATGTTGTGGTGACCCAACCATAAAATTATTTTTGTTGCTACTTCTTAACTGTAATTTTGCTACTATCATGTCTTAGGCGACCCCTGTGAAAGGGTCGTTCGACCCCCCAAAGGGGTCGTGACCCAATGGTTGAGAACCGCCGCTCTAGGCTATGTTCTGGACTTCTATCAGGACTTCCAGATCTCTGTCGGACGCATGGAACTCGCTCTCTTTAATAGCTACAGTTGAGTATCACTGAATACCATGGTTTGTTTAACTGATTGCCCGAGCTCTTTTTTGAGTCTAAAGCAGGGGTTGGCGGTTTCTGTTACTCAGTGTGATTGGAACGCAGCCACGCCCCTTATTTACATATCTCCTGTGGCTGTCCTCTCTCCACAGGCTGAGTTGAGTAGCTGAGACAGGGTGTGGCTTGCAAAGCAGGGAATATTTATGTTTAGAGAAAGATTTGCCAACCCCTGGTCTAAACAGTGTTGACGTGACCATCTCTTTTACATATGTTTTTGTGCATTTGTGCTGGTATTTCTGAAGGATGCACTTCTAGTCAAGGAACAGCTGGTTCAAAGGCATAGACCTGCCAGATTGAACTAAGGGGTGTGGCAATTTTACACTTTGCCTTTGGGATATGATGAGACTGTTTATTTCCCTCATACACTTGACAGCATTGGGTGTTACCATTCTTTTTCATCATCGCCCATCTAAGAGGGAAAAAAATATTTTGTATTATTTGAACTCACATTTCTTTAATTATGGATGTGATAGAGCATCTTTCATAGGCTCATGTTCTATTTATTATTCTATAAATTATCTTTTTAACTTTATTTCTCTGGTTGTAGAATTGTTTCTTTTTCTTGTGACTCAGAGAGCCGGTTTTACATCAGACGTAGGTTTTGTACTTTTTTTTTTTTTTTTTTTTTTATCCTCACCCGAGGATATTTGTCCATTTTTTGTACAGATAGAGTGGGAGGGAGAGAGAGGAAGGGAGAGACAGAGAGAAACATCGACGTGAAGGGACACATCGAGTGGCTGCCACCCGCATGACCAACCAGGGCCGGGGACAAACTGCAACCGAAGTACGTGCCCTTAGCGGGAACCGAACCCGGGTCTCTCCAGACCGCAGGCCGACGCTCTAACCGCTGAGCCAAACTGGCCAGGGCCAGACGTAGGTTTTGTACAGAGGCACTACATGCATCCAAATTGGGGAACAGGAACCTTACAGCAGCGAGGGCGGTGCCAGGGCACCACTTAGAAACCGTCCTTGACCCGTGTCGAGGACCAGAGTGGTCTGTCCCAATGTTCTCTATCTGTATAACTGGTTCATCCTTTTTCCCAGCTAAAGCAATGTATTTACTAATGTAATACATGTACTGTTGAGCTTCTAGTATGTGCTAAGTACATTAGAAATGCAAATTTACGCCCTGGCTGGTTTGGCTCAGCAGTTAGAGTGTTGGCCTGCGGACCAGAGAGTCCCAGGTTCCGTTCCCGCTAGGAGCACACACCAAAAAGGAAAAAAAAAGAAATGCAAATTTAAAACACAGTCTCTGATGTCCAGGAGAGTAAATTCTAGTGGGGGGCCCAGACAACAAGTCAATAATTGTTCAGAAAGTGAAATGTTGCATGGGGGTCCTGCCAGTGATTATAGGCGTTTAGAGGAGGGTGTGTTTTAGATGTTCAGGGTGTGGTTTCAGAAGACTTAAAGGGCCAGGAAGAATTTGCTGAAGGATGACATTTGGCAGGAGGAGCTACACCTGGGAAGGTGGGGGGCATCAGAGGACTTTGAGGAGCTCATCACGACTGGAACTGGGGAGTTGTGCGAGGGGACATGGGGTCTGGCCATCCCTTGGAGTTGCCGTGTGCACACCCGATTCAAGATAATAACCATCGCTGACACTGACTGCAGCTCCCTTGTGCCACCGAATGGTTAGCTGACCATTTCGTCCTTACAGCAGCCTGTGAGTCAGGGGGTGTCGCTCCACTTGCTAAATGACCCATCCAGTCACATGGCCAGTCAGTGGTAGAGCACGCGCCGTGTGTGGCGGGCATGTGCCTGTGTGCATTCAGCTCCCCTCTGGCATCCTCTCTGTGCCCGGCCTGCCCTGAGCTTTCAGTGCGGGAGGAGGCCCCCCGGACGGGCTGGTGCCCACAGTGGCTCTGGGCAGAGCGATACCAGCCCCGTCTTTCCTGCCGCCTTCGCCCTCTGGCTGGAAGTTGGCGGAGGGACTGGGGTGTCCAGGATGTCTTCCAGCGGCGACTCCGCTGCTGGGTCTGATGGGGGCCCGCGGGATAAGCTGGGCCCTGCCTTGGTTTATGGGGACACCTTTGCCGTAGGCGTCAGAACGGAGCAGGTGTCTGTCCCTGACACCCTTTCTTCCCTGTTCTAGGCCTTTCTGGAGCGGTACCTCCGCGCGGGCCCCACGCTGCAGTATGACAAGGAGCGCTGGCTGTCCACACAGTGGCGACTCATCAGTGACGAGGCCGTGACGAACGGATTGCGGGATGGACTCGTTTTCGTCCTGAAATGCTTGGACTTCAGCCTCGTCATCAATGTGAAGAAAATCCCCTTCATCGTGCTCTCGGAAGAGTTCGTAGACCCCAAATCTCACAAATTTGTCCTCCGCTTACAGTCTGAGACGTCGGTTTAAACATTCTCTATTTGTGGCTTTATTAAAAAAAAAAAAAAAAAAAAAAAGAATATATAGAGAGAGCTCTATGTGTGCCAGAGGGCCATCTTGTTTGTATCCGTTTTCGTTGCTGAGACTGGCGGGTGACAGACCAGCGGCCTTGACCATCTGCACTTTATTTGGAAGGAAGCAGGGGATGTCGCCCTGGAAGTGTGGGGGACACCGGACTGCTGTGGAGGGGACTTCTCGAGAAGCCGCCCCACGGCGTCTCCGTGACAGCTGTAACCAAAGCGGAGCTGGTGGTTCTGGAGCCTCGCCTTACAGCAACTGCTCCCCGCCCCTCGGCCCGCAACTTGTCTGGGACACGTTTTTGTTCTGGTTCAGGAAGCCAGACACGGCATGGCCACAGACGTGTGTGTGTGTAACTGTCCAGTTCCACGTCACCCACGGGAGCCAGGGGCTATTCTTTGTTGCCTTAGCTTCTACAGAGAAAGATCACAACAACAAAAAATGTGCACTAATGATTTGATTTTTCTTTTTTCCCTAAAGAGAAAACCTGCCTGCCCTGTTTCTGACCCTGCTTTCCTGCTGGCCAGAGCAGGTAGCCTTTCGCTAACTCTGTAATTGGCACCTGTTCTCACCCATCCCAGCCTCCCCGGCGCACCCCCCCCCCCCCACCTGCCCTGAGCAGGCCTGGCCAGGGAAACCCAGCCTCAGAGCTGCCTGGGCGCTGGCCCAGGTGCCTCAGGTGGTCCCACGGCTTGTTAGTGTAGGGAAGCGTGGATTGCCTACCAGGTAGGTCACAGGGAGGGCGAGCCAGCTAGGGTGTCCCTTTGGGCTGCAGCGGGAGCCCCTCCCCTCCTGCCTTCCTCCCACTGCTCCCCACTGACCAGGGGAGGGCTGACACCTGACGGGACTGGCAGCCCCTCATTGTCCGGGGCAGCAGGTTCCCCAAAGCCTCCCAGCGAGCTGCCTGCCAGGGGACACCAGACAGTGCCACTCAGTGACAGCTGCTGCTGTCCAGCCCCTGGCTTTTGACCACCGTCACTGTGCATCCAGCTCAGCCCCTGCCACTCACTCCCTAGGAAGCGCTGTCCGGCCCCTGGTTGACATGGTCTCTAGAGTTTGGTCACGTGAGAAGGAATGGACTGGCCACCGAGTGTAAGGAGATTGGGCCAGTCTGGTGGCCCAGAATGATTCATCTTAAATGCAGCTGGTTCCATTGGGCTTTCCTGTGCCCTGGGCTGGGGGTGGGGAGCCTTCTTGGCAGAGGTCTGTGCAGGGGGGTCCAGGAGGAGAACCCCATGCCTCCCTCTGCCTTCCTGAATCCACCACAGCACTTGACGAAGTGTTCATGCTTGCTGTCCCCAGGTACTTGGCGTACAATCCCCTTGCTTGAGTAAGGGACGACACTGTCAGAGTGCTCTGTGTTCCCATGTGCCCTCGCTGGTTCATCCCACAGGTGGTAGTGTTTGTGTGTCCTTCTTTAGTCAGAATTGGCTTTGGATGTTTGTAATACACCTGTACCTAAAAAAGTAAACAGTGTCCTTGAATCAACAGCCTTTGGGTCAAAAAGAAGATGTGTTGGGAAAGAAGGAAGGGGAAACCAGTCGGTGTGGCGTGACTGTTTAACAAGGTGGACTGTTTAACTGCGTGGTTCTGTTGATGCAAAACACATACCGTGTAACCATGGTGCTTTTGTTCCTTAGTTTTTGCCTGTAGGTCCCTCCAAGCTGGACATTCCTTTGGATGATGTCTTTCTCAGGAAATATATTTTGGGAGATGGTGAATGTCTATGGCTCGGGCTGCGTGAAGGCTATGCTGTCCCAGACTCAATGTGTCAGACTGCTGCGTCAGGAGCACAGCGTGAGAGTGCCATAAACGTCGCTGCCTGTAGTTCAAAACGACACCATTCGCCAGCATTCTAGACTCCTGGCCCCGCCCGTCTTAGGTTACCAGCCCGGAAGGGGTTAAGTTGGATCAGTTGCTTTGGAACCTGCACCCCCAGCAGGGAAGAAAGGTTTAAATTAAGGAGTATATTTTTCTCTCTACCCATTTCTCTCACAGCCTTCTGGCACAGTCAGTGTCAGACTTTCTGAAATTTTTGTTTGAAATTGAGTATTGATTTTTTTTTTTTTTTTTTTTTTACACTGACTTTGTATGAGTCCTTTTTAAAAGAATACCAAAATAAAATGCAGGATATTTGTACACAGCCTTTGCGCACTCAAACTCTTGATAGCTTGAATTACTGGTGCCGTGGGAACAATGTAAATGGTGTTAAAATATTTAAGGTTTCAGATAGCTGCATCCCACACAGTTGAACACAATGCGCTTTTTCTTTTAGTTCTTGGAACCAATAGACTATTCTTTTTAAAAGGGGGTGTACTGTGGCCTGGGGCTAGTCAAATATAAGTACATCTACATTAAGGGAGATAGGATTTCATTTGCCTTAAATGTTTATAGATTTTTCTGTAACTTTTTGACCGAAGTTATTAAAATGTGAACATTAAATGCTAAAGAACAGAGACAGATAATGAGGAGTTTATGTCTGAGATCACCCTCCTCCCTGGCGATGTTTTAAACCAGTAGGTAACTTCTGTCCTTAAGTGTGTCCTTTCGAAGATAATGACCATTTTTAATCATCCCTGACCTGAATGTTCAAATCTGCGTTCTTGGAGGTGGAAGGGAGTTTAAGGTTTTGTAGTTCATCCATCCTTTGCATTGTCAGTTAAGTCAAAATATGTAATGCTTTTGCTCAAGTTCATACAGTAAGCCCTAGAGAAAACACTTGCCCCGTTTTTTGCCCAGTTCTTATCATCTCCCTTTTGCCCACTCTGTCCTCCTTTTCGAGTCTGTGGACAGGACAGATTCGGTGCAGCAGAGGGCAAGGGGTCGATGGCCCCTGCGTGCACGTGTGTTTGTGTGCGCGTGTGTGCGTGCGCATGTGTATGTGCTGTGTGTGTCGTGTTGCGCTCGCCGCCTGAGCTTGGACCTCCTTTTCCGTGGGGAGAACGTGGTGTGCCGCTGTGTGGAGAGTACTCACCCTCCTCCCTTCACCCTAGTCAGTGATAGTCGAGTACTCTTGGTGTCATCTTCACTTTGGGGTGCGTGTGTTTGGATAACGGCCAGAGCTCTGTGGGAGCCATGAGCCTGTTGGGTTGACAGACATGGATTGCCCGGCCCCCGCGCCTGCCCCTGGGAGAGTGTGTTCTCGCCACTCAGTGAGACCAACAAAATCGGCTCTTGGGTTTGCTGTCTTTGATCCGGGCCCTGCTATTGTAAGGCTCTCGAAACAGCAATGCGTATCACTGTGGTCATGTTTCCACACACACGAGCATTTCTCAGAGTGTACGCTACCAGATGGACGGCATGTCTACATCTTAGGCATCTGGACAGCTGTGTTATCTGTGGCACACGGGTGTGTATCCTCATAGGTAACTCGTTCGTGTGTTTATATGGATGAGTGTGTCAGGGTGTATGTGTTTCTACACAGGCCTATGTCTGAAAGATGTCCTAATTGCACCCAGCTTTTGAGAGGTTGCTCTAGAGCCAGGGACTTCTCCCTTCCCTCCTCCCCTCCTCCCCTCCTCCCCTTCCCTCCTTCCCTCCTCCCCTCCTTCCCACCTTCCCTCCTCCCCTCCTCCCCTCCTCCCCTCCTCCCCTCCTTCCCACCTTCCCTCCTCCCTTTCAGTTGCACTGGCTTCTCCCCAGGAGTAAGGGCTTTGCAGAGGCACCTTCTGGAGTGCCCGCTGTCCTGCAGGCAAGTCCATTCGACTCCTGTCCAGGCCCCTCGGACCTGAAAACAGAAAGGTCAGGTTCTACAATAATTCCTGTTCCAACTTCACTACCCTGGAAGCCTTACTATATGTTTCTCAATATAGTTTAGAAATTGAGCATCATCAAAAAATAAGATTGATTACTGAAGTAGCACAGAAATGTTAACACAGTATTTAAATAGTCCTGCAACAGAGACCCTGCTAATGTAAAGTGATGTAAGTATTTCTGGGTAGTGTTTGTGCTTTATGGATCTTGTTACAAAAAATAAATCACTACTGTGAATTTACTACTCTGTAACCTTGTGGTCATATTCCATTCTGAATAAAATATGAATTGTTCTTAATCCCGTAGCACAGTTCTTGAATGGTATTCAGTGTGGTAGTGCATGGATCTAGTTAGACCCATATGGAAAGCACTGTATTGAATTTTAACCAAGTGGATGCTCAGAAAATTTAGATTTCAGATCATGTTTTTGACAAGACATTCTGGTCAAAGAAGGAAGAGGCGGGTCCTAACGTATTTACCAGGTGTTATATGTTGGGGACTGTTCCAGGCAGCCATGCAATCCTCACATTCTTATAAGGTGGGGGTTCTCTGGCTTGTACAGGAGGGAAAAGGATGTCAGAGAGGGGGAGAGCTGCCCAAGGTCTCACAGATAGTAGATGGAAGTTCACATGGAACATTTGGTTCCCATCCCTCGGTCACTGGGCCTCGAGGCATGATCTACTGATTTGGCATTTGGAATGCAGGGGAGGGACCTGTGGACACTTAACCTTGAACCAGAACCTGGGATGGGGTAGTTGGAGGTGGAATTGCTATTGCTCCTTCACTTTGGGTTTGCCCCAGAGGTGTGGCTCCACCGGAAGCTTCTCCACCGTGATGGCAGATTTCTTAGGATTTTCAAAGAAAGAAGCTTTAGGATCCTCTTGTCCCCAGGAAAACATGCCCTGCCAGCGTCACACCTGGTATAAGACCCCGCTGCTGCTCCCTGCAGCTACCCTTTGCTTTCGCCTCTCCCACCCTCCCCCAACCTGCAGGCTTGGACAGGTGTGCCCTGGGCTTTGGTCGCAGGGAGGTGTGCAGGGGCCGACCTGGCCTCCTGGGGCTCTGCAACACCATGGCCCTGGTGGGGGTGGAGAGGGACTGCCCGAAGACCCAGCTGGGGAGGTTTGCAGCTGGAGTCTGGCCTCCCTCCCTGACATCACGTTCTCAGCAAGCTCTTTGCATCCACTGGTTTCTCTCAC